CTGCCAACAAACCCGACGAGTTTGATCCCTGTCTCTTATACACATCTAGATGTGTATAAGAGACAGGTTCTACAACAGGCTTTAAATAATAGCTCATTTTCATGTGTCACACTTTACAATTTTTAACCTATTAGATATGCATAATTTTTTTATCTTTCTATTGTGTTACATAGCCTCAGTATTAGGCCTTTAATGCCCATTGACAAAATTTTTCTATGTCAAATAGTTTTTGAGTTTTGGGGGTTTTTGTTAAAAAAACTAAAAGTGGTCTAAGTTACCCCAGGAGTCTTAGTTACCCCCTTTTATGGTATCATATATTTTCAGTAGGTATGAAATCTCACGGCTCTGATGTCATGTATTTTTGTTTGATTAAAAAATTTGCCGTTTTCAGTCCACAAACATGTTTCATAAAATTTTCAACTTCTGCAATCTGCAATACTTTGACGATCCTGCCAAAATATCCTGCACAACCTAATAACAAGTCAATCTAAAACGTTTCCGTAAAGATGGCGTAGTTGTGGTCACATCAGAGAAGTCAGACTGCAGTATCATGTTGTTGTTGTTAATTGCCCAGGACCACTGCTTGGCGGCGCCCCCAACAAGGCAGCGGCTCAAGGGGAGGAGGTGGGCGCGGAGGTTCCGCCCCAAGGATGTTGGCGAAGGATGGGAGCTATAAGAGGAAAGCGGCAGTTGGTCCAGGGTTAGACCAGATTGCGCCGCACTCAGGATAGAGAGGGCTATTGGCTGCACCAATGCGGGCAAGGTATGAATTGAGCTGCGATGAGTAGCCAGAGCGGAGCTAAGAAAGGGCACTTCTGGCCGCCCTGGGAAGGGATAGCTCGCTGGATGAGACAGCAGGGGGCAGGGGTCAGCAGCACCTTGTTGGGAGCTGCTGAGGCCAGGTAGGTGGAGGCAGTGGAGTAGGTGTCGGGGGGGAGGGATCCCTCCTCTAGCAGGTGAGAGACCAAAGGGAGGAATTGGGACTGGAGCATGTGCTTCATGGGATGGGGCCCTGATGTCTGGGTGACAATAGGGTAGCTGGGATGGTGTTGAAGGGCACTGGCAAGGAACTGTGAGCAGAGTAGAGAGAGGTGTTCAGCCATGGGTAAGATCTCAGCTTCGCTGTGCGGGTGGGATGCGGAGGCCATTTGAAGAGATCCCGTGGCAATGCGAAGGGCAGAGTTTTGAATGGTTTGCCATTTGGAGATTGCCAAGGGAGAGGCGTTAGGTAACCACACTGGAGCAGCATAGGTGATTAGAGACTTTATAAGAACCTTAAAAGTCACCAAGAGGGTTTCCTTCTGTTGTCCCCAGCTGGTTCTGGCAAGGGATTTGAGGATGTTGAGGCACGGGTGGGCTTTCTGGCATATTGCATTATCACGTGATCAGTTGCCACTTAAGTGAAGACAAATGTTAGTGTTGACAGTTTTTAGGATAAAATTAGAGATTAGGCTTAACACATGCAAGGGACTTAGTAAAAAGTTTGTGGCTGTTGGCTTGTTAATGGCACTTAATGGCCAAGGTATGTAGTTCTTGGCTTGAAGAAATTAAATCATGGCTCAAAGAAATGGATTCATGGCTGGCAAATCCATAAAACCATGACTCAAAATATTCAGTTGCGGCTCTCCAAGTAGATATATTCCATGCCTGACTTGTGGGAGAGTCTAAAAAAGTCTCTGCTTTGTCAGTCATCACTATATACTACAGTTACAGTACCATCAAACTGGGTAAAAAAGGACGGTTTTGAGCATTTTTTGTTAATAACTTCTTACCATGAAACATTTCAGAAACAAGTTTAGGCTCATTTTAAAGCTCTTTGCGAGGGCTATCGAATGGCATCTTCAAAAAAATTCCATATGCTATGTGTGAGGCGCTAGACGCAATGTAAAAGGCTCCTGAATTAATCTTGAAATGGGGTAAAAATGGACACTTGAAATAAAACTTAATTTCAAACATTTGAAGCAAGCAGAGTGTACTCATCTATTACTAACAGTACTCTGAAGTCCTCTTCTTTCATTGTAGATGATGTAGATGAATTTAACATGTTTTTCCTTTATTGATATGATATTACCATATTCATTAAATACAGTATTATTAATGTGATATTACTGTATCCATGGACATGCCATTGAGCATTAACAAGAACTTTGTCCACTGCAAGCTACATATCAGCAGCCATGTAGCATTTCTTCTGTATCTGTAAGCTTACAGGAGGTTTGTAATTTCGCAATTTTAATCGAGTCTAGTGATTTCACTATAACAAAAAAGATCGTGAAAAACATACCGTACCTGAAACAGAAAATAATGTTTTCGTGACAACCATCATAAGTTTTGAAGAAATAAATCATAGTTTAGGTCAATTACTTTTCATTCTATGATGCCCGGTGCACAATTCTATACCTATATAGCATTCTATGTACAATTTTGTGACAACTGATAATGCACTAATTTTTTGATAAGTGAATTTTTTTTGCTGAGCAAGGTAAATGTAATCAAAATTCTTTGTTGTTAATCAATTTTTTTTTTTGTTAACTGGAGCCTTTGCTAACTGAGGTTCTACTGTAAATGCATTTTTAAGGGTGTCCCTAATTACCCCAGGTAGGTGTCCCTTTTTACCCCATCATGCGGAAATGGCTGCCATTTCTGGCAGCCATTCTGGCAATTATGTTTTCAAGCCCACACCTGGGTGCAACTTTTATGTAAGTAAAATTTTTCAATGCGGCAAATATTTTTTTTTTGCTCCAGACCTTAGCAGAGGTACTTTTCTCCAAAATCACACTTTTTTTTCAGCGATTTTTTTAGTAAATGTTTGATTTCCTGATTAGCTTTATATATACCATAAAATGGGGTAACTTAGACCACTTTCTTTTTTATAAATGATGCCATTTTTTTACTAGCTAAATTAAACTTGAATTGAAACATGCAAAATACAGGTCTATACTCTAGCTTCACTCACCATAGATTGCTGGCTCCTGCCTCTCATAGTCTTTATGTAATCTCAAAAAAAGTGATGGTCTTTGTTACCCCAGCTCCTGGAGTAACTTAGACCGGGTGGTAAAATCAATTATATTTTTGGGTAAAATAACTCCAGGTTTTGGTGCATTGTAGTAGAACTCTTCTAGTTACACATGCAAATGACAAACTTGAGGAAAGTGTCATAGTTTGCAAATGGGGGGCGCCGCCCCATATAACTTATCATGTAATTTTTACAATATTTTATCAGAAATTTGTCTCCATGAATCTTAGCATTTCAGAGCATCATGCTCCGTGCATATTGCTGTTGTTGACAACCTTCTGTAAGTAACAAAACTTGTGTATGTAAAAGCAGCATGTCTCATCATGATGTCTCTTTTTTCCAACAGATGTAGACCACTAAACCTTATTCTCTCTTGTCAGTATACGTGCGCTCAGTGTAACCTTGTGATTTACTATCATAGTTTTGCCATTTGATTATATGTATGGGTACACTCTCGAATTTATCAGTTGGTGATATGTAAAGGCATTGACACAAAGCCTACAAATAAAAAAAGCTACACTGAAAAAAGATCCTCTTTGCTGGATAACCTGCCTATTTTCTGTTGACCTTTTTTTAATGAGATAGAGTGAATAATTTTCCTTGTGTGCCTTGCATAAATGTTTTGTATAAAATTTTTTTTGTTGCTGCAGAAACATGATGTGAAGGCCTCAGCCAAGCAGCAGCTTGCATTGATCACTCGAGGGCTAGATGAAGTCATGGGAGAAGAGCGGATGCTTGGATTGTTGGAGAAGCGACCCATAAAAATTTACTGGGGCACAGCCACAACTGGCAAGCCTCATGTGGCCTATTTTGTACCCATGACAAAAATTGCAGATTTTTTGTTAGCAGGTTGTGAGGTTGGTATGGTTACATTTTTTGTTAGCAGATTATAGTTGTGTGTTAACATGTTGATTATAGAACAACAAATTGAGCATAATTTGGTTCAAAAATGAATATCCTAAAATTTTGCCAACATTTGATGATGATTTCATTGCATGGTACATTTAAAGAGCTAACATACAGTTTGGGTATTGCAAGAAAACTCACATGTGAGTTATGCCCAGAGTTTAACTTTGCCACTGTTTGTAGGTGGTTGTGTTGCTTGCTGATCTTCATGCATATTTAGACAATATGAAAGCACCATGGGAGCTCATCCAGCATCGCACTCGCTACTACGAGGCTATTATCCGAGCTATGATGAGAGCCATTGGTGTTCCACAGGAAAAGCTACGCTTTGTTCAAGGTGGGAAAGAGATTTGATATCAATTCTTGTTTTCAGTTTGTAATTGGGTAAACCCATCTACTATCATGAGTTGTTCTATCTTATTTACATCTATATTTATTACCGTATACATAAAATTAGGTGTTCATACAATACACAACTCACCGTTAGTTGCAGATTAGCATAACTGCACATACATGTACCGTATTAATAATACCTTATCAATTTTATCTCATTTTATCTTTAATGGGGCTAGAGTAGACGAACATATAGAACAGTATGGTTACATACATGTTCAAGTATTGGACTAGCATTACCTTGTTTTCCAGGTACATCATTTGAACTGTCAGCTACCTACACAACTGACGTTTACCGCTTGTCAGCCATGGTCACGGAACACGACGCCAAAAAAGCTGGAGCTGAGGTTGTGAAGCAAGTGTCTTCCCCTATGCAATCAGGTCTCCTCTATCCCGGTCTCCAGGCTTTAGACGAGCAGTACCTGGGAGTGGATGCTCAGTTCGGCGGTGTTGACCAGCGCAAAATTTTCACATATGCTGAGAAATACTTGCCCAAATTAGGGTATGCTAAAAGGTCTCACCTCATGAATCCAATGGTTCCAGGTCTCACGGGAGGGAAGATGTCAAGCTCTGAAGCTGACTCTAAAATTGACCTGCTAGATTCAAAAGAAGCTGTCGAAAGAAAACTAATGAGCTCGGTTTGTTTACCTTCTGAACCAGATAATGGAGTTATGGCGTTCGTGAATTATGTTGTCTTCCCTATTCTTGATAATCAGAAAAAGCAGCTTGAACTCGGTGATGGGTCCAAGTTCTCATCGTTTGGTGATTTGAAACAGCAGTTTGTTTCTGGAAAGGTTTCTGGAGAAGAGCTGAAGAAAAGTGTAGTTCTATTCCTGAACAATCTTCTGGAATCCATTCGGGCTGAATTTAAACAACCTCATCTGAAAGATTTGACAGACCTTGCTTATCCAGCATCAATCGATCATCCTAAGAACGCCTCACAGTTGCCAGGAGCAACTTCCAAGACTCCAAGCTCTTCTTCTATGAGCAAAGAAACCAAACTAAAAACCGTTTCTCAACAATTATCTGAAATGCCTAGTTTGGATCTCGCTGATCTTTTGGATAAGAAATGCCACGTTCTTTGGGAACTAGATGTCACTGACCGGCCAAGTATCAGCATTCTGGGACACCTAGCAAAAATCCGAGACTTCTTGAGTGTAGGTTGGACCGTGACGATTGCCGTGCATGATATTCAGTCCCACATGGACGGAGGTACTTTACCTTGGGATATTGCTGTGCACCGAGCTAATTTATATATTGAGCTTATCAAGTCTGCGTGTCGAAGCCACGGCATTCCCACTGATGATATCACATTTGTAAGAGGCAGTGATTACCAGCTTGATGAGTCGTATGTTCTCGACCTATACAAGATGTCTGCTATGATCACGTGTCAGGACTCCAATGACGCCACAGCTGATGTGTTGAGAGACCCTTCACTACTGTCTGGTCTCATTTACCCGGATATGGTTACTCTCAATGAAAAGCACCTGAAGGCTGACGTTCATTACATGCCAATAAAATACAAACCGCTCGGCGTTTTTGCGGAGAGACACCTTCACGTCGCAGAAGATGTTAGTAAGATTCACCTTTATGGGCATTCCATGCCGTCTCTCATCTGCAGGGCACCGCTCAATCCCGAAGAGGAATTCATTGAACTTCTGGAACAAGAAGCCGTATTGAAAAAGAAGATTAAATCCGCTTTCTGTGAAGAAGGTAATGTAGAATTGAACCCACTTTTGTCACTGGTTCAGCACATCATAATGCCTATCCTGGGTGAAGGCAGTTTCACAATTTCAAGATCGCTGGAGCATGGAGGAAACTTGAATTTTTCATCCATGGATGAGCTTAAAGAAGCGTTTGCATCCAAGAGCTTGCATCCTGGTGATTTAAAATCGGCGGTGCAAGAATACGTGAAACGGATCACCGATCCAATCAAGAAACAAGCTGAGTCTCCTGCATTCAAGAAACTTCTTAATCTGGCTTACCCCCCTCCTCAAAAGAAAAATAAAGCCCCGGATGGGAAATCTGCCAACAAACCCGACGAGTTTGATCCTTCCCAATTCAACATGCTAGTGGGCAAAATAGTCGACGTGTCCCGACATTCTGATGCAGATTCTCTCTACGTGGAACAAATCGACGTTGGTGAAGAGCAGCCTAGAACAATAGTTAGCGGCCTTGTTAAATATGTCCCCATCGAGGACATGCGCGACAGAATGGTCGTGGTTCTCGCCAACTTAAAACCCCAAGCCATGAGAGGTGTGAAGAGCAGCGGCATGGTTCTGTGCGCTTCAACTAGCGATCCTGCCGCTGTTGAGCCTCTGCTACCTCCGGCAGAAAGTAAGGTCGGGGAAAGAGTCATTGTAGAAGACCACGAAGGAGACGCCTCCCCTGTTCTTAACACCAAGAAAAGTGATGCGCTCGCTAAAATGCTTGAAGGATTCAAGACCAATGCGAGTTTACAAGCCACGTGGAATGACTGTCTTTTTAGAACGTCGGCCGGACCCGTTACTGTCGCGACTCTTAGAAACGCCCCCATCAAATGAGTATTATTGACATATACAGGTATTCGTGAATCATTTAGTGCTGTTTTAATTAAGCAAATTCTTTAAAATATTTGCTAATTTTTAAACTTTGGGCAATTGTTCTTAACCCATTAATCATACATTAAAGAATTATCCGATAGAAGACATCATTACAAATTTCTTTTCATTTATTGTATTCTTTTCAAGATTTTCAGCAGTTCTTGAAATGTTATTTCAAGTGCATGTTTGGTTTGATATTTATGTGTAGTGAGGTTTGCTTTTTGTTTGAGATATGATTTTTCCCCGATTAGTTTCTATTTATTCGATGTGTTAATTCGTGGTTTTGCAAGTGGACTGTTCTTAATTTTATTTGTTAACTTATTTTCATAGTAGTAGATATTGCCATGATACTTGGCACATTCTATTGATTTAAGCGAATTCTCTCCATCAATTTCTTTGCGGCTTGTTTGTCATCTTTCATTTCTTCATGAAACTTTCCTGAGTTAATCCTAACTAGCTGCAACCCAGATCTTTTACTACTCCGGGTTCGAGGGTGTCCGTTTTTTTTATACGAAGTTGTGGTTTATGGCGTTTTGGAATAAACTTTTCTACAGCCTTGTTTTTTTATTCGATTATGATCCCAAATAAATTTTGGAACTTGCAATAAGATATCGTTTGAAGTGAGGTTCACCAGTCCTGAGTTTTCGGTGGTGGAAAAAGTCTGAACCAGCTTCAGTCTTGTATTATAATTACTACTGTTCCAAATTATTATCAGGTAGAAATTTGCAAGCAAAAACGATATCCACTCGCCTAATTATGTGAAATAATCACAGTGTTTACGTATAGCTGTGGAATTGAATCACTCGTATTCCCAGGTTTCAGCTTATTACTCTCATTTTTCATCATTAATTAATTATTCAATTATTCCCATTGCAGTCGAGTTTTTCCATGCTTACGCTTGCTTGTCATCAGGTGGGCTGAAGTATTTGCGCTGTAAGCCGAATTGATCACCTCACCACGGAGCTTGCGGTGCCTGCCTCGGGTATAGATGGGTAAAGTTGTCACGTAGGCAGGATACCTTATCCTTCCTTACCAGCTTACCGAGTCGGGCGAGTAGAAATGACATTGCCTGAATTTTTGTATCATTCAGTTTTAAAGATGACATCCGAGTGATCTGACAAATGACGGCCCCCTATTGTCAATGCATTCAGTTAGTCCATTTTTGAAGTTCTGTTCAACTCGCAGGAGCATATTGACGGGTATGTTGGCGATGGCTTGGCGTATCATATGTTATTCTTCAAAAGAGGTAGGGTCCTTTGACAGTCATTGTAAAAAATTGATTTAAGAAACCCCCATATAAAAAAAAATCACGGAGTCAAATCGAGGGATCGGACCGGCCGAAAGATCTCACCTCTCTGCAAAATGTTGTCTCAGAAGATCCATTGAATATCACGTTGTGTGGGCCGTGGCTCCATCCTGATGGAACCAGACATCCCCGACACTTCCACGTGCCCTAAATGTGTTCCTTACGTAAAAATCGATCAGGGACGCAGTCTGAAGGACGAATACGGAACCGAGTACGGAATGCTCGTTTAGTAGCGATGATGGAACGGCCACTGTTAAAGTGCGCCTCGACAGCTAACGCACACTGCTCGCTTGTCCAATGCATAGTTGCAACTGACTAGGAGGGGCACAAACCGTTATGACCTTTCATATGAAATACTCCCCGCCTTTTTCCTACAACATATGGCTGCTTGGCACGAAACAACAAACAGGAAGTGTCCGTGAATCACCCTGTATTAATCATTTCCCTTTTCTCTATTACTGGCTATGAATATATTTTCCTTTTATTTTGCTGTTCATATATCCCGTTTCAATTTTGGACTGTTCAAGTGTTCGTACATCATCTTTCCTGTGGTTGTTAGTACATATTATATCCTACATTACTTTGTATTGCTGCTCATATTGCTCTCTGTTTCTATAGCTAATGACAATTCCTTTCATGTACCACTTTTCCCTTTCTATTTCTGTTCACGTGCAGCCCCATTCTATAGCGGTTTATTAATACAATCTTCTTGCTCCAGCTTTTCATTCACCATTTACTTTTCATGGCTGTTAATTTTCCATTCATACTTTGTGTATGTTGACCTACCCTCTCTCCGTCTATCTTAAATCCTAACTCCGCTCTTTCATGAGCTTCATGACGCTCGATCTTCATGACGCAGCTCATACGTCATTATCTCCATGACGCCCCAGTGGTCTCAGTTCAGAGTACCAGGATTGGAGTAGAGAGGTACGGGTGCGATCCCAACTCACTGCACCAGTTTCTGGTCAGAATCGGCGAGGAGGCCGGGCGGTTAATTGAGCACAGCAGAGTTGGAGCCGTGAGTTGGGAGTTCGAGACGCAACAAGCTGTGAATGTTCTGCTATGTTAAGAATCGGCGACAAGCCTACGGCCTAAAAAAACGCTGAAACCGCTATTATTTTGAGCTTCATGAACGTGACACTAACACAGTAGCCTTGATTATGCGACAGCCAACTACGACACTATAGCAAAGTAAAAGTAAATTTCGACTGGTGCAACTAAAAAGGTTAGTTCTTTATGCTTACATAATTGTTATCGAATAGTAAATCATCATGTTGAAGTTTTTGGCAGAGGCAACACGTTTTGGCAGTCACATCGCCTCCAATCTAGGAAGTAGGAACCTGAATCATTAATTATGAATCGTAGCAACAGTCAAACGATGCTATCTGTAGCTTCTAAGAGGTTCAGTCTTGAATCCTCATACCATATGCAGGTGTTTGGAGCATCTCGGGACGGCCATTTAAAAAATTTTGGATCGTGTTAGCTCTGTAATCTTGGCCGCTTATCTTATCTTGCGCATATCGCCGGTGACTCAGCTACCAGCTGTTGGTTTACGTGCTAACAAAATGCAGTCAGTCTACGGAATTTGAGACAAAGTTGCTTGCGAATCGACTATGAGATGTTAATGAATCGATTCTCCGAATTAGTGGAATTAAAGATTTCCCGTTTATTAGTAGTTCACAGATTTTCAATCTAACTATTTCGCCAAGTTCACATCATGAATGCGGTTCGTTTGGAATACCTTGGAATTCAAACTCCTCTCATTGTCAAGCCCAAATATCTCTCATGTCAGCTGTTTGTTGAGGAAATCCTTACATTCTATGTCTAAAATTACTCTGAAACAAATTTTGAAGAAGAAATTAGTCAACTAGAGGCTTGCCTCTGATTTGAGCGCTGAACGATGAAGGTTGCGAGTTGAGTTGATCAAGTGAAAGAAATATGCTACTTTCGTTTCTAATTTATTTCCATAGATGTTTTCAATAATTTAGATTGCTCTGATTCAGCGGTTCAAGACCAACTATGGCATTGAATGTTCTTCAAAGGCTAATAGTCCGAAGCTTAACGTTTACGTTTATTAAACACGAAAATTAATATTCATAGGCTTATTTAGTAAATTTTTGTCGAGTGTGTTCGAATTAATTCGGCAAAGTTTACGATGTTGTAGAAAATGAACTATTTTCTACAACATCGTAACTAGATAACAACTAGAAAATGAACTATTTTCTAGTTGGTATGCAACAATTACTCGGTATGATTAGGTGGATTTCGAGAGAACGGAATTTTTTTCTGTGATTTTGCACTAGCTTCCCCATAGTTTATTTATTGTTAACCAAAAATGTAAATGAAGCATGTGAGTGGTTTACGGACGCCACTGAGATGGGTTTTGCTATTTGCTAATTATGCTCGTGCTCATTGCTCACTGCTCAGTGTTTCCTTGGAGGTGATGAAGTGTGGACGTGGCCGCGCGTCTGCCAGTGAAGTGTGTGACCTCGCACACTGATAGCGCCCGTGTCTCAATGACAATACGCGAATTGCTTCAAGGGGCCACTGAGAGAATTTTTAGACATTAGTGGAGTTCTTGTGTTACGATTAATTCTCAAGAGAGTGCATGATCTTTTATTCAAGTAATTAATTTCCATATTCGCCATTTTATAACAACGGTAAAAAGTTTGTCGATAAAGTCGATCGAATTCGCTTTTTGATAGCAATGATGCCTCATTTGATGTTAAAAAATTGATTAATGGTTTATCAGTTAGCTTTATAGCGATAAAAATCAATACAAACAATCATCACTTATTCTAAGTGATATTTGATTTACTTAACTTAGTTTCCGAATCAAGCTACAGTGCACTGGGACTAAGAACTTAATTAAAACTGTCACTAAACTCATTGTATTTTTAAGAATATGTTGTTGAGGGACGAAGCTTTGCCTTGCAGCATCTATACTATACCGTTGCAGCTCAAACTTTGTCTGTTCAATATACTCAGGCGAGACAACATGAACTGCGTCCCTGACTGTGACAGAAAACCATTCTGGTTGGAATGTTTTATTTCACGCTCGAATACATGTATTGCGTTGTTACTTAATGCTGTAGTTTTTTCTATCATTTCGCATTGTTCAGGGTTGATAATAATGATTTTGAACAATCACGGTTCTGATGTTTTAGAGGAGCATGGTTACCATGGTAACTGCTGCGTCTGTAGCTCATTTACGAATAAGATCGCAGAAAAGACTGACGCTAGTTCATGCGCGCTGTTCACTTCTCTCGAGCGCCCACAGATGTATTCGTTCCTGGGTAAGATGTACAAATGCAAAGAAACTCATAAATGCAGATTAAAAATCTGACGTCAATATTTCAGATTGGCTCACTACTTTCTTTAGGGACCTAGTTCCTGAGCCCCACACCACAGAGCTCGCCGGTCTAAATTGTGCGTTCGAGTTGTTATGAAGGCAGGACTTATTACATATATCTTCTCGGCGGTTAAAGTCTCTTGTGAGCGACATCTTGTACGAGTATCTTCACTTGTCCCTCCTTGTCAGTTCGCCTAATTGAGATGCTAACGCTGCTCCTTTCTTGCCGGTTTCAGCGGTCCGGCCATTTGAGACATTTCGTCTCGTGTGGGTAATAAACAATTTTATATCTGAGAAATTGACAATAATTGAGACCAACCACCTCGTCGATGTTCATGCTTGACTTCCAGTGCAAGAAAGCTTATTATCGCATAACCGCGACTTAATCATGTGGCCATTGATTCCCAATTTTCTTCGCGAAAGGTAACAAACATTAGAACGTGAAATTATTATTTTTCATTGTTTTCAACTTCCTGATGAGCCCTGGAAATATCTTAAAGTAAAATCATAATCATAGGTTTCTTAATTATGTTTAAAAAATATTTCAAGCCGTCAAATATCTCATCGGGTATCGGAAAACTCGAATGCGACTTCATACCCGAGCGAATCATGAACGCGATATCAGATCGGTAAATGCTACATCACCATCAACCGATCCGTGAATGCAATATAAGAACGTTGAATTTGACATTACTCCCGAGTGACTCATGATCGAGTTATTGGAACGTTCAATGCTACATCTCACCCAAGCGTTGTGTGAACCCAAGTTCAGGCAAGCTCAGGAATTCCGTTTCTGTAATGCATGACGGTCTGGGGTGCCTTGTGTTGGGCAGAGGGCATCAATGAAAGCTAAGGCATCACGCACTAGCATCACTGTCATTGTCGGCCATGCATTGG